GGATCCAGTATTTCCCATGTGGCTTTGTGATGAAGTTCATAATTTATTTTCAAATAATTATGATGAAAGACATCCCCGTCTCTACCCCTACTCAGTGTACAGAAGTATTGGACTTTGGAAGATTGGGTGAGGAAACACGAGCCCGCAGTTCTAAAATTGTTCTGGATTGCGGTTGGATGTCAAATTAGAAAACTTGAATGTCAAAACAAAACTTGCACGAAAAATACAAAATACTGCAAATCAATTCGCTCGACAACCAGCACTGAAAGTTGCATGTTGCAGAAAAAAGTATAAATTTCACACTACAATATGCAATTCTAAAAGTTGAAGTTGAAATGTGCAATGTTGAATGTTAAGTATACTGAATTGTACTAAATACGCGAAGTTAAACAAAAAATACGATGTATGAATTTTGGCGGAAATTTGAAGTCATAGTGTGTCAATAGTGCATGATGTTGTTCACTCTTTCAGTACAGCTAAAACTAGTCCCTTTGCTAGAAAAATATTTGCGGAACTCATAGTCTCAAAACAGCCCATCAAATTTCAAATTAACTGTGGAGCAATAATCAACATTTTGCCTGCGCAATATGTTAAGAAGGTGCACTGATTCTAATATCTGATAATGGGCCTCAATTCATCTCTGCTGAATTTGCCACATTCTCCACAAAGTGGGACTTTGAACTCCTCACCTCGAGCACCACCAGTCAAATGGCATGGCGGAATCAGCTGTCAAAACAGCGAAACGTCTCATTCAAAAGGCTACCCTAGCCAATTCTGACTTCCAAATGACCTTGTTGAGTTACCGCAGTACCCCATCCCAGGGCACGGACCTTAGCCCGATACAATGGTTCATGAACAGACCACTGAGCTATATAATAGTTCCTGGAGGACCGGCTCCTGTCAAAAAAGTGAAGCCACTAAGATGGCGGATTTTGAGCTTTGCTGACGCCACATGGTTCCTTTTGCTCATGGTAGTTATCACTGACATACCGCGATACACAGTGAAAAACTGTGTCGTCACCCTCCCGATTTTTATGAAAACATTTGAATACTTTTTATTCATCTTTTTCGCTTTGCTGTTTCAAACACGAGAAAATTGAAAAATGCCTTTTTGTTGCGCCTTTGGGTGTCATAACTCTCTTACGAAGGAAAAAAGCGTTTCCTCTCACCGGTAAGTTTCCACAATATTCGTTTAGAATTGTATTTTTTATTTTAATATACGATAGCTACAAAACTTTTTATCAGAAATGGCGTCAAACATAGTTTTTTACATGCAAACATGCAAGGTTTATCCTATAATAATTAACTATTAAAGTTGTTTTTAGTTTCTTGAAGAACTAATTAAGTGTACATACTATACGGTATTCTAATATGCAGGAAAATGATCACCGTAGTAAAACTAAAACCGGTGCTGCCCTTCGGGCTTTGGCCGCACAAAACAAAATTGAAAATTAAAAAATTACTTTGAAAAAAATTATAGGTTTCCAGATCCCGCAAGAAATCCTGAGTTACGAGCTATGTGGGTGGAGAATATGAGCAGGGATGCAGCAGTAAAGTTTATGCCAACGAAAGGAAGTCGTCTTTGCTCGGAGCATTTCAGTGCGGACATGGTACAACAGGTTGGACAAAGGATGATGCTGCTGCCAAATGCTGTTCCTACACAATTTCAGGGCTCTCAGGTTTGGCAATTAATTTTATCAGTTCAATATATAATCTTTCATTTTCGCTTGTTTAGTATGGACCGAGCGGTAGGCGACAATAGCGTTCATGCAGTAGCTCTCTGTACACACGAAGCAATATTTATAATAAGCAATAAGCATCCATGTAAAAAAAAAATTGTCAACAATTTTTCGCATTTTACAAATCGTGATATATATTTTGTCAATTTTCCTAGAATCATACCACCCATAGAAATGGTGACTAAAAACGATTTCTTCACCATTGAAGAAAGCTGATGCTTATCAAAATTAACTTTGTACCTGTTTGCTATGACATGCCATTCCCCTGTAGAGAAAGGTTAACAAATTTAAAGCTAGATTGGTTTACATGCATGTTGTACATGACAAGTAGTGGAAAGATGAACTTGGACTGAGTTCATTAATTCTCAAAGTGCTCAATTAAATTACCATATGTCATTCTCAAAATTTTTTGGTATATGTATTGGTATATGTATATGGTATTCTTTAAAATATTAATTGCTTAAAAAACTAGCGTGCAAATCATATCTTCTTTGCCTCTCAAAATCATTATACCCTCACACATCTTGAACCCTTTAAGGTGCAGGGCACAGTCTGTAATGTTAACCAATTTAGTTTACATGTTTTGAATAACTATATCTTCCAAAAATATCACATCAAAATATTCAAGGTATTCTAAAAACAGGAAAAATGCTAAATCTCAGTATATATACCCATTGTTATAAGCCAAACCATAATATTCCCTTCAAATATTTTTAATATATTAACAATGATATTAATTATCATTTTTTTTAAATTTTTGCAAGGGTAACACAAAATGAGAAACTTGTAGATGTCACAAATTGGGTGGCTGGTAAAGATTGTTCTGAAGAGGTAGATGAACACAGGGTAGGTGAATGCATTGTAAGTATGCAGGGTGTCACAGAAGATTTGTTTACTGGAAGTACTGAAAATGTAAGTATACAGGGTATTATTACTGAAGAGGTAAGCTCTCCTGATGTAAGTGTACCGGGTGTTAATGGTGAGGTTATTATTGCTAATGAAACCACAAGTGAAAAAAAGAGAAGCTCTTAAATGAAGACATTATATTATGAATGAGGTAAGTACTCCAAAAAGAGTGCATTTGAGTGATGTAGACCGTGATCACACTTATTGTATCAGTAAATCTCCTCGTGAAATGAAGGAACATATATAGCCTTGTAATGAAGATAACTGATTTGAAGAAGAAGGTGAAGGTGTCACACTAGAAAACCAGACGGCTAAAAAGAAAGGTTAGCACATTGACTGATGTGGTAAGTGAACTGAAAGAGAAAAATCTTATAAATAGTGATTGTGCTACTATTTTAGAGAGTATCCTTTCTGGAGTTCCAAAGGAACTCATGAAAAGGATAACATCGCAAAAGAAAAATTCTGGCGCGTATCCGCCTGAGCTCAGGTCATTCGCACTGACCTTGAAATTTTATTCGACAAAGGCATATAATTATGTCAGGAAAAGCTATGATCTAGGGTTGCCACACGTATCGGTGATTTGATCATGGTATACCTCGATGGACGGCGAACCCGGTTTCACGAAAGACGCGTTGACAGCTTTAAAAGCGAAAGTTTTAGCTGCAAAAAGAGATGGTGGCAAAGAAGTTGTTTGCGCTCTGAACTTGGACGAAATGTCCATACGTAAACATGTCGAGTGGGATGGTAAAAGAATGCGTGGCTATGTCAACCTCGGAACTGGTATTGAAAATGACTCGCTGCCTGAAGCTACCGATGCGCTGGTGTACATGGCCGTTTGCGCAAATTCGAGATGGAAAATACCCTGTGGATATTTTCTGGTGAATGGACTGACTGGTGAACAGAAGGCAAACCTGACGAAAGAATGCATTGAGAAATTGCACGAGATTGGAGTGAAGGTGATTTCATTCACATGCGATGGTCCTTCTACCCACCAGGCAATGTTGAAGGAGCTCGGAGCCAAGCTGTCATCTGATGACCTGCAAGTGTATTTCAAGCATCCGTGTGACCCCGAAGCCAAGATCTATGTGTTTTTAGATGCTTGCACATGATAAAGTTAGTACGGAACGTCATGTCGGACTGGAAAGTCCTGAAAGATGAAGATGACAACACCATTCAGTGGCAATTTATCGAGAAATTGCATCAGGAATCGGAAGGTTTACATCTAGCTAATAAGCTTCGAACAGCGCATATCAAGTGGAAGCCCCAGAAGATGAAGGTAAATCTTGCGGCGCAGGCGCTCAGTTCGAGTGTTGCTGATGCGTTAGAATACTGTGAAGGTAAGCTGAAATTACCACAATTTCAGGGATGTGGTCCAACAGTGAAGTTTATTCGTATTTTTGATCGCCTGTTTGATGTTCTGAATTCCAGAAACCCGCTGGCGAAGAATTACAAAGCGCCAATCAGGAGATCGAATTACCAGTACACGAAGAAGTTTCTGGACCAGGCGAGCGAGTACATTCGAAATCTGAAGGATCCAGAAGGCGTAACAGTTTTCAAGACAAGAAGGAAAACAGGATTTCTTGGTTTCCTTATTTGCATCAAATCAGTTTTGGGATTGACTGACGATCTGGTTATGAGTGAGAAACCAGTCCTGGATTATCTCTTGACTTACAAGATGAGTCAAGATCACTTGGAGTTGTTCTTCGGTGCTGTGCGAGCATGCGGAGGGTGGAATGATAATCCAACCACACGCCAGTTTGTAGCCGCGTACAAACAACTGCTGATGAGACACAATATTTAAAGAGGACGTGGAAACTGCATCGCACAAGATTACACGGAAATATTGAATGCTCTTCAAGACCAGTGTGAAATTGACGAGTCATCCACTGGGATTTCAGATGTGACCATTGCCAGAAGATACGACTTAGAGTTGAGACAGCCAGCAGCCGTCGATCATGATTATTGTGACGTGTCCAATGTCATAGAACTGTCGGAATACAAAGAGGCTGCAATATCATACATCGCTGGGTATGTGGTGAAGATGGTTATGAAAAAGATCAAATGTACGAAATGTGCAACGGTTTTGACGACGACTGAAGAGGAGATTCCAGATTTGTTCGTAACGTGGAAGTCGAATGGTGGTCTGATCATAGTTAATATAGTGGGAGGGTTTGGAAAGCCGGCAAACTTCAAAGTAACACGTGACCTAATGGGATATCATGTTACAAAATGCGTCACAGACAAGTTATAGTGCATTCCACTAGTAGAATCCTATACAAAATAGAGGGACTTTTGTTGAAAATCGTTATTTACTCGTTACACTCGAAGTCTGTGGAGTCAAGCAGAATTGAGCACATGGAGATGGATGAGGAGGATTCTCTGTTGTTTTGTGAAAGCGATGGGGCTTTTCATTCGGCTTTTGAAGACGATTTTGAGCAAACTCTTGCTATGCTCGATATGGACATAGAGGAAGTGATGAATGAGGTTGAAAATTCTCATGAAGAGGTGAGTTAGAATATCGAAACAAAGTAAGCCGTGCTTTTTTAATAGCTGAGGATGTTATATAACTTAAATCTTTATTTCTAGGTCGAAGGAAATAAGCAGTTCCCTTGCGAATTTTGTGAGAAAGTTTGCAAGTCGAAGGGGGGTCGAACGAAGCATCACCGAAGTAAACACATGGACGAATTGGGGGAAAGTTCAACTTCGTCTTCTACCAGAGATATCGTTATTACGATGGATAAAACCAGGGAAATCATCCGCGATATTGGTCGCTACTTAACGGACGAGAAGCTTTACAAACCAAAGCAAGCTGCGGAAGTTTTTAAACTGGAACCAAGTGAGGCCTTTGTGAAATTCTTAAACGACCTCCTTTTGAAGCTTAAAAGAAAGAAGAGCAAAAACAATTTTCTTAAGGAGTTTTATGGCAACACAAACGCTCATTGGCATGAATATTTTCATCCTTATCCGGACAAGAAAATGGTGTTTTTAATGCTCATTCATCTTCCAGAACGTTTGTTAATATGCATTGAGCAAGACAAGCAGCCATCTGACTCAGAGGTAATTTTTTCTGACATAGCCAGTTTTATATTTATTACATTCTGGTTGATAGTTACATGCACACATGCCTATGAAACAGTACCAATTTTCTGAAAGGACATTTGTTTGAAATGTTGAGAAGCTTTGTACTCTTTTAATATAGGCTGACATGTATACCATACTGGTAGTTAATCCAATGGGTCTTGATGTGGTCACATTGCAGTAGTGCACCATACTTATTTTTTTGCTAGTCTGACACCTGTTGCTTTTAGTATTCAATAGGGAAGCTCTGCAGCTCAATAGGTGTATATATACATGTGCTAAATGGTGCTACTACCAATATTGGGTAGTATCCAGGTTTTGTACAGTATATGGCATCTGGTTTAGAGGGACTGAATTTATAGCATCACCATTACTATGTTTTTTTTTGTAGAAGGGAATTTCCCTGTTGCAACAAGAGCATGGACCATTGACATATTTGGCAGGTTATGTCATAAGGTCTTTGTACCAAAAAAGTAAAAATTCTTCCCGGTCGCAGTCTCAGAGAAACAAAGAAATTCAAGCACTAATGTATTCGATGCGAACAACAACAGAGGACAATGAGTATATCTCATCATTATCAAGAGGTGGTCTTTGGTCACCTCATTCATGGCTTGTGAGTATCATGGAAGTTGGTGAGTTAGTCTTTAGGAAGCACACCAATAAAGACAAGGTCACAAGTCTTCCAGTAGACAGAATAGTGAATGAAGTTTTGGCTTCTTCTCTTGTTAAAAGTTTGTGGTGCAACATTATTGCAAATTGTGATGTGGAAATCACTAAAGAGTGTAACTCCCTATGTTTAGAAAATATTGTTAAGTTATATGTTACTGTTAGATGTTTTTCATTTGCCAAATATATTGTAAATAAGTGTAAATTGAATGAAGGTGTTAAACAAAGAAAAGCTTTACGAAAAGACTTGAAGAAAGCCAGTGAACTAAAATAATACAATGAATATTAAATGTATGTAGTTTTTAAACCATTTTGCTGCCATGAAAATACTAAAAAGATTTGCTAAATAAATTAGCCAAAAATTGTTATTAGCTTTTGTTTCTTTGTTCTAACAATTAGATAAAAAAGCCAATCATAACAATCATATGCAACAATATTTGGTTTTACCCCCATTAAGCCACAATGCACCCTATTGCACCTTGCTTATATTTTTTACAAATGCCAGATGATAGCTTCATAGGGCTATTTATACCAGACAAAATAAGTCGTGACTTACATGGAAAGTTATCGTATAAATGATTCTCTACGGTTCTAGTCTTATTTAATTTTGAATTTAATTTGAATTTTTGAATTTAGCTATATGTTGTTGAATTAGTTGTTTTTGTTTTAAGATTTCAGGCAAGTGTACATAGGTGATTTTTATCCAAAATGTCTTATTAAAGATGCAACTTAAATAAGAACAGCTAAAAGCCCTGTTCTTATTTAGGTCGCGACTTACTTTGTTTTTCGTATAAATGGCCCTAATGTGTTAATCAATTTGTAGAAATTTCAAGTAAAAGCAGTCAGTTCAATTCTCTTAAAATATTAAGTGACAAAACAGCGCTTGCAAAATAACTAATATTACTACCCTCATGTTCAAGATACTGTAACTAATTCTTGGTTGGTTTTTTGTTCTTTTTCTTTGGCAATGGCTCTTCGCTGACATTATCCCATTTCCTTCGCTTGCCAGAATGACGTCCTGAAACATTTCCTTCAATGGACTGTGGTGCTACATCTCTCAGTGTTGCTATCTTTAAATCATTATACCCAAACTCTGCTGCTGGTGGGTTATCACTCCTTCTTCCCTGCGCTCCCTGGTAACCAAAGTACTCTTCGACATCATCCTGGCAAAAACGTTCTGTGAGTACAAACTCGAATCCTTCACTCAACAAAAACCTTGTTAGGGCAACAACTGAGTTTACTGTCATCTTTAGACCAGTGAAGGTTTGAATGCTTAAGAACATTCGCCCTTTGTCATCAGCTGAGAATGCACCTTCTCTTGAATCAACTGATGATTTCTAGCTTTCTAAGTATGAGAGGAACTCATTCTTTAACCAATCAAATCTGGTATCATTTGCGTGTCGGTATGGGGCCAGCAATGGGCTGCGCTTTCTTTGATGCTCTGAAGTTGAACGGACATTCATACAATCAAAGAAGTCGTTCATCATCTTGCAGAACTTGGCTGTTTCACTTGCCTCTCCTGATAGATAGTTCCGTTTGAGAGCTTCAGCCACTGTATTACTTAGCACTTGAACTGCAAAGCTGACTTTCATCTTGGAATAGGACTTTAGTTGGATATGCTCTACTGTTAACTTTGGTAGCTGATGTAATCCAAAATCAAGATCTGAATAATACAACTTTGCAATATGTTCCCAAAACATGTACTTGTCATTGTTCCACAAGTAACGGGTGCGTTTGCCACTGCCCGAATAAAAAAGACAGTTCCTTGCAGTCTTCAATAAATGTGGGGCATCAGAAAAGAAGTAAATCTTTCAGCTCGGAGCAAAAAGGTTGGTGGTGTAGTGCACCAAATCTTCAGAATCTGCATCCACCAGGTCTTCATGTAGTTGAAAAAATAAGCGGTTTGGTGAAGCTCCATCAGATACCGCTGCACAAACCCAAAGGTTACAGATAAGTTCAAGCACAGACACTGCTTTCCAGAACAAAGGCATGATTGGATAGCTTGTGACATCTTTAGTCAAGAAATAGCAAAGAGCATACTTCAAATCTGTGGCTGCACCTCTAACAAAGAAAACAAGGGCATGTGTGGCAAGATCACTTGAACCTAGACTACTGGTGTTCAGTTCCTCTTCACCAAGATCAAAAAAACCAATAAGTTGATTGAAATGTTTATCGAAGACCAACTTCGATTGGATCTTCATTTCATCGAATGCAATAACAACATAACAACATACCGTTGGATATCAAAGTACTGGCTTGTTTGATTCCTCAACCTCTCTACGTTTTCACTGTGGAAACCAGCTTTAGGTGTGAAAAAGTTACGATAGTCTCGCAGGGTTTTTTCACTTGGAAGTACCAAAATGCCAGATTCTCGCAACTCTTTATATGCTGCCGGTGATTTGGCGTGAATTGAAAGGCAAAATCAAATTATGTGTGGGTGATATCTTCTTCCAAACTTTGGTGATGCAAGCATTTTTCGTTGTTGTTCCCAGAAAACTCTCATATGTGGGGTAATTACATCACCACTATCAGAAAGTATTGCCAGCATATCCTTTTCCAATGTCTCATCTACAGGGACGCTGTTCTTTGCAATCTCTTGTTCCAACTGTGATATACGATTCTCAAGCTCTTTGCAGGCAACCCTCTGTCTTTGCACTGTAGCAACCAACCGTTCCTTACTTGATTTGGACAGAGGTGCTTTATCCTTTAAGGGCTGAGGTTGTACATTCTGCTTCTCTTTCTGCTTAGTAATAGATTTTTCTTGCGTGGTACAAGTGGAGCAAGAAATGTTACCGCAAAGCAACTCACAATCTGGTGACCTCAAAAAGATACAGGCCTGAAAGGAAAGGCCACTTTCTTCATAATGCTCAGGCTTTATTGGAACTGTATGCCTAATGACACTGCTGGAACTACAGCTTGAACTGGGGTCCTCACATTTTGAATATGTGAGTTCATTTTTGTCGAGGCTTTCCACAAATCTCATAACTCTCTAGCTTCGATATGATAGTTGAGATGCTGGTATGCTTTACTGATCGCTTCGAGTCACTGTAGATGGCATGATTATCAGGTATAAACCAGTTATAGACAGCAACAGAAAAATTAAGACCAGAGGTAACAGTACAAGTTAGCTTGGGCAAGAAAAATGTTGGATTCCAGAACTCAAAAATTACATTGTCCTCATTTTCTGTTTTTAGCCATCCCTTTATCTTTAAACCTAGAATTCGTTTTTTGAAACTCTCCAAGTTGTGATATACGACAGGTTTATCCAGTTGATGTCGAACAAGCTCTCGTCGTGGAGTTGTTGTTAAGGTATGAGTAGAAACACTCTTCACTGGTAAATTTATTGATGGGACTGCTCCTGGCACCAGTCTCTTACGAGTAGAGGCTAAAAATAGCATAACTACTTTCAAGATCTTATACAATATTATGGTGCACAAGGGAAGAATAGAAAGGAATATATGTTGGATATACTGCACACAGAAATACCTAGATTTAAAGATTTATAATAAATACCCAAATATGTTGATTTATATGTATCTTGTATTTTCTGGCCATTTCATAAGGGCAGTTGTCATATTTCGAAACTATTTCTATCTCTGACAGGCTATATGTGTGGTATTTCAAGAAAGACTGAAGTGGTAAAGTCTGGAAGCTTATACAATCGCTTACCGAGTAGATGTTGTGGTTGAAAGAAATTGCTGAGAGCCGGATAAAAACTTCGATAAATTCTTTAAAAGCCGGATAATATGTAGAATGAACAATTTATATTATAAATCTATAATTCTATATTATAAATCTTTACGCTTGAAATTAAATTATACTGTACTTGCACTACTATGTCTATGTGAAAAATCAAAAAACAAGACCTAGGCAGAACATTTAATACTTGGCCATCACGGTACATACATCTGACAGAGATCATATTATTTTACACAAAGAATTCATTGTTATGGCCCAGAAGTTATCGCCCATGCACAATAATGCGTCTGTCATTTACATATTTGAAGATTTCGCCGCTTTTTGCACAGTTTTACTCATTGCTTATAGAGGGAAAATAAGAATACACTTACGACAATTAATTTCTTCGGTCTTAAAGTGTTTCTCACAAACATACAGCTCTCCTGAGTCGATTTGGCGACGTAAACTCTTGTCAATAACTCGATCTTTTGTTATAACCCTCAGCCAAGCTTCTCGAGTTCTCGTAGATAACTCGTCTTCCCCAGACGGAATTCTAAAAATTCCGAGCCCAACATGTTTTCTGCTGGTTCCGCAACCAAAAATTGAGCAATTTGCTCCAGGCATTACCAAAAATATTCCCAAATTTACATTTTTTTTTCGCTTCGCAAGTTATGGAAATTCGACACTCCTTGTATAAAATTAGTAATGGCTATGTTTACATATAATCCGCAATGCACTATAAGTTCCACGTGACCAAAAATCCAACATATTTTGTCACGTGACCTGGCCTTCCAAACCCTTCCACTACATTAACCATGGTCTGACATTGCCATCACATGG